TATAAGAAGTAAAGCCATGCTGTTATGTTGAGCTGTAGGGGACTCAGGTCAACAATTTCTGACATTGCCAGTTAAGTGGAAGACCCAATACTATTATGGGCTACTGGACTCTTAGAATATTTTACTGAGTTTACACAACTATAACATTCAAATAACGGAACTTAACAAAAAAGGGTATACAGATGAATGTACATTTTGTATCTCTGTATTCAAAGTGGTTAGGATAGATATATAGTTACATTCTCTTAGTGAACAGAGTAATTTGTTCTAATCGTGTTTGTAAATAGGATATCATGTGTGCATCTTGTACAGCAATTAACCACTGGGAGGAATGTATGCAATGTGTTAATTATTGTAACTGTCCTACCAATTTGATTTGAAACTGTCTCATTGCTATTTATCAATAAAATTATGGGAAAAAATTAATAAACAAACCAAAAGAGAAAAAACAGGACAGTTACAATAATTAATACATTGCATATTATTGTCTTCATAGTGGTTATTCATAATACAAGATGCAAACATATCATGTCCAAACAATTAGTACAAATCTTTCTTCTCATTGAATTAAGAGAAAGTAGCTGTATATCTATCCTATTTTGCATATACAGATTCAAAATGGTCCTTCATTTGTATCCCCTTTTTTGTTTAGTTTTGTCAGAGAAGGTATTCCACTGTCATTTAAATAAAGTTACATTTCTTGTTTTCTAAGTCTTGCTCTATCTTGGTCTTAACCATCCAGCAGAAAAGGATAAAAATGAGGTATAAAAAGTAAAGCATTTTAATATGCTGAGTGTAAAAGGCTCAAGTCAACAACTTCTGACATTGCCAGTCCTACAGATAACCCACTACTATTATGGACTACTGGACTATATTGGATTATTTTGGTGAATTCACGTGTTTTTCCTGTCTTCTGCCACCAAGAACTGCTGCCCCTCTGCCATGTCCCACCCTGCCTTGGAGCCAGCAGACTATGAACCAAAACCTCTACCAACTATGAGCTAAAGAAACCCTTCCTCCTTTAACTTGGATGCTGGGTATTTTGCCTCAGCAATGAGAAGAGTAACTAAGATAACACCTCAACAGTAAAAGGAACTTGAAACGATGAAAGACTCTCACATGTTACAGACCAGAACATTTGAAAGGTTCCAGAAAATAGCTTAATTCTTAAATATATATGAAAATAAAATCCTCTCTGTGTTCTTGTGTTCCTTTTCTTCGTAAGTACACATTAATCTTCTTCAGAGTGGAAATCAGCACTTTTGGGCTACCCAGAGCTGGTACACTTCAAACCCCACCATGGTGCTTTGCTTTGATAAAACAAATACGCAGGACAGCACCGTGAAATCCAGAGAGAGATCTACTTTCTACCTTCTCACATTTATTGTTTATGAATCAATGCCTGAGGTGTCTTGTTACAATAAAAAATGTTCAGCTGACTCTCCACTTAGCAAACGTCGGATTCCATTAGAAATCTTCTCAGGATATTGTAAAGACTTTCCTAAAGAAACATTTTTTTTTAATTCCAAAAGAGAAACCCAGAAAATAAGGGTCTCAAGATATAAGGAGAACAAACGTCCACTGTGAAGGGACAGCAACTCAGCCTGCGCTATCTTTTTCATCCTTACAGCAACCCTCCAAAGTGCATTATTACCTACATTTGGCAGATGAGGAAACTGAAGTCCCAAAATATTAAATAGTTGTTGTCACAAAGCTAGAACTGGAACTCTAGTGTAGTGTCTGCTGCTCTAACTCTGAGGCCTGTGCTCCTTCTCCCAAACTTATTTATTTATTTATCTATTTATTTATTACAGGGTCTCACTATGGAGCTCAGACTCATAGTGATCCTCCTGTCTCAGCCTCCAGCACTAAGACTGCAGGTATGCACCACCATGTCTGGTTTCAGTGGCCAGCAAAGTGCCACTGGCAGGGCCGGTACAGCATGTGGTATCAGGTATTGAACCCAGGTCCTTACATTGGCCAGTCAGGTGCTTAGACTGCCAAGCTATCTCCGCAGCCCCTCTTTGTCCTAAAATTAGCCATTCCCCAAGCTTTTCCCCTCCTAAGGGAGCGCTTTGCTCTGCCTTATTGGGAAATACCTGAATTAGTGCTCCTACCAAGGAGCCCAACACCACAAGACCAATAAGGCAGGACAGAGACTCAGCCTGACGCCTGACCCCAACATCCAGCACACCCTTAAACGAGCTCCTACTTCTCACAGACATGTGCATCGCCTTGTGTTCTCTAGGCTGACCCCAAAATAGCCAACTCATAATGTTGACAAAATCCAGGCAAAAGGATCAGGGTGAGTCATGAGCTCTTGAGGCCAAAAGCAAATTTAACCACTGAAAAGACACAGAACTATTGATCCGTACACTCGATGAAAATGTGCAAAGAAAACATGACCAGCAGCAGCCCAGTCAGTCTGTCCTCTCCGCTGCCTGCTGAAAAGTGCCTTTCCTCACACTCTTCACCTCTGAGACGTGCACATTCACCACCCAGCTTGCTGCACCCTCCTCACTCCCTGGCCTGCTGGGACTCCACGTGTTCTTCAGGAGTCACTGTCCATGGGATCTTCTTATCCAGTGACCTAAGGAGCTTAATGCAGTTACATAACTTCGAAATCAGGCACGCACTGCCTTGTTTCTTTACTATTTTTTTTTTCTTTATCACCTACTCTTTGGTGCATTGGCTTTTCATGTGGTCAGGCCTGGCTTTCCACATTGTCAAACTCTACCCCGGATGCTTGAAAGATTTGGCTTCGTTGAGGTCCCCACAAACTGCCTAAGCACCTAGAACAGAGATGGCTCTTCGCAAATATTTTCAATAGCCCATGACACAGAAGTCGCTACTAAAATTTTAAACTACTAAGGTTAACTAATAATCATCATTTTAAGAGGGTGATCTGTCCCATACTTACGACTCATTTTCTCTGGGGACTTCATTCCCAATTCTTCAGCAGGGCATCAATGCTTGGCAATGACCTGATCTCCTCATGCCTTCGTGACACCAAGCCTCGCTGCCCATCCCGAATGCTCACCCTCTTTCCCAGGATCTTTTCATGTGCCAAACACTTACCAGCAATGGGATTTTAACCTTCATCATGCTCCTTTATGAAGCCTTTCTTGTCTACCCCTAAGCGGGACAGGTCTCTTATCTCTACTTGCCTTTACCTTAACCTGTATCTTCACACCCAGAACACAAACTGCCAATACTGTATCAACAATGCTTTAACAGTATTTATTTGTTCATATTCTGTAATAGCTCATGCATTCTGAGCTCTGAATTGTTCCCCTAAATATTCCCAGCGCCAAGCTCAGTCCCCATGTACACATACAATAAATCCTCGAAAGGCATTCAACAGAAGTGTTTAACCTGCTTGAGAAACCCAGTATCATCAGACAGAATGTGGTTATGTATAAATAAAGGCACCAAAGGAGTAGGTGCAAAGGTCTCTCAGGAGTTGTCCCCAAAGAGCAATCAAGACAGATGCTTTGCCCAAATGCACTCTCTTCTTTTATTTTTAAGCTTGATTTGTACTTATTAGTAGTACACAAGTTCACACTCTTTCTGAGGAGTGGGTAATGTGCACGTATCTTAATTCCTTTATTCAGGGCCAGCCCAGTAGCTCAGCAGATTAAAGCACCTGCAAGCAGGCACAGGGGCCAGGGGTTCAATCCCCGAGCCTGCTGTGCAGGCCCCACCCCCAGGGCACGCTGAGATGGTGATTGAGATGGGTGTGGTGGCATGCGCCTGCAATCCCAGCTTTTGGGAGGCTATAAACAGGCGGATCACTACAAGTCCGATCTAGTAGTGAGACCCTGAACACCCTGTAGACCCTTCCCTGAAATACACGAAAAAAAAATTACTCTATTCATCACCTTCCTGCCCCGCCCTCATACCTCCCTGTGTCTCTTCATCTCTCTCTCTCTCTCTCACTTGAGAAAGCTCTCCTTCCTTTCTATGACCTGTACTTTACTCTGCTCTTTATAATTTGAATTTCTCATATAAGAGAAACCATGTGATGGCTAAGCTTGTGTGCCCCTTGTGCATCCGTTTCCCTGCCAGCGGCTCAAGTTTGACCTTCTTTGTGGCAGAGCAGAACCCCATTATGTGTAAACACCGCTTCTGCTTTATCCAGCTGTCTGTCGGTGGCAATGTAAATCCAGTGATGTGGGCACAGAGCCTCATTTAGCCAACCTTTCCGTGGAGCTCCCACCTCTGATCCCTAAAACCCCTCATGGAGTCCATTAACTCTAAATAGATCTCCAAGAGCAGAAGGAGCCTTCCTACCTGTGCTCCAGTTCTCGAATGGACAGTATGACACCTGACGTCGATGGCTTCTGCCGTACGGTGGCCACAAAGGTGAAATCACTCTTATTCCGGAACAGTTGAATTAATTTCTCACTCACATGAGGAGCTGCGTGGATCTCTCTTTCAGTATCTAGGAGTTGAGAAGGAGCAGAAGGAGAAGAGAAGGGACGTGGAGGGAAGGGGAAGGGAGGGCAGGGGGAGAGGAGAGGGAGGGAAGAGAAAGAGAGTGGAAAGGAAAGGGAGAGGAGAGGAGGGGAGGGAATGGGGAGGGATGGGAACAGAAGAGGACAGAGGGAAGAGGAGGGAAGGGGAAGGGAGAGGAAGGGAAAAGAAGGGAGAGGGGAGTGGAGAGGAGGGGCGAGATAGAGAAAGAAAGAGGGAACAGGAGGAAGAAGAGAGTAGAGACCCACAGTTGAATTGCCACACTCAAGGATCCAGATCCCAGTTTCCACCTCCCCTTCCCCCTTCATTTTCAGACACCACTCACCACTGCACAGCACCACAGTCATTCAACACAGCCCCCAGAAATGCTGAGTCTGTCACCAAGACCGCTTGTCACTTTGACAAGTTTACAATGGGCCAGGCCGTGACTGTCTGACATGAATTTTGACAGGACACCGAGCAAAACAGCCAGATGCAAGCAGAGTAAGCTGCTGTAAGGTGAAGCGGGTCGGATAAATGGGGTCCTGCATTCAGAGAACCTGGGATCTAGTGGCATCCAAATGCCACCAAGCAGCACCAGTCACTCTCCTCCTGGGCTTGGTTTTGTTTTCCCCACAGTGCACCCAGGAATCTGTCCTTGCCTTGTCCCCAAAGGAGATTTACTGGCACTAACAATGCCAGACCACTCTGCCTTTGCTTCCAGAATAAATGCAAGACATGCTCGGGATCCGAAAGCATGCCTGGAATTCCTCTGTAAGCGTGCACTGGATTACTCTCCTCATGAAGTATTTATCAAGATGCAGACCAACTCAGCACACCTAGAGGCATGTGAGTCCAGCTGACTCTGGCCCTGGACAGGAATCTCTTTCTCCAGTATCAGCCTCAGAAGAGCCACCTGCTGCTTCCCTCGCAGCCTCGTCCCTGTGATCCCTCTCAGTGCTGCACACTGCATCTCCCGGCAGCTGAAAGAGGCACCAGGGAGCGAAGCTATTCAGACGCTGAAGAATGAATGTCAAAGGAGAACCTGGCGGTCCTCTCTCCCATCCCGACCATCTCCTTGGATGGTTGGACCCTGTTGGGTCATTTCGCCAGCCCTGCAGAGCGTTTAAAATGCAAAGCTTCGGCTCAGTAGAATAAGCGCTTCCCTGGCAAGCACAAGGGCCTGAGTTCAATCCCCGGTTCCACCAAAAAATAAATTAATTAAATAAATAAATAAATAATAAAATGCAAAGCTTCGAAGGCTGCATCACTCAAGCGGCAGCTCAGACTTAAGCAACAACCCTGAAAGATCTAGAAGTCCTGGAATTCTTGTCCTCGGGCCCCTGTCTTCTTATCTATACGTTCAGGGCCTGAACTAGGTCTCTCTTGAAGCCCTCCCAGGCTGTCTTATCATCCCATGAAGTACCACTTCCTGTCAGTAACATAAAAGGGAACACCAGTCTTTTTCCAGCTGTAAAGTCTAGGCTGAAAATGGAGAAAAAGAAGGAGCCTTCTACCACAGAAGCAGGCACCTGTGGGTTTTTTTGTTTTTTTTGTTTTGTTTTGTTTTGTTTTTTGTTTTTTGTTTTTGAGGTACTAGGAATTGAAACGAGGCCCTTTGCACTGACCCGCATCACTAGTCCTTTTTCAGTTTTTCGTTTTGAGACAAGGTCTCTCTAAGTTGTCCGTGCTGAGCTTGAACTTGCAATCCTCTTGCCGCAGTCTCCCACAGGCTGAGATTATAGGTCTGCGCCCATGTGCAACCCAGCTAGCATTTGCGTTTGTGCCTAAAGCAATGCCCTCCCTGCTGCTAAGCGGCACACTGTGCTGACCGGCAGCAAGGGCTCACCTAAGAGACGGCCGCTTAGAGAGCGCTTCCACGCCTTCTATAGAATCCCAGCTGAAGGCTTCCCAGAATAACGCTAAACATTCATGAAACATTAACAGATCATTGTGCAAACGAGAGAAGATTAGCAAATTTCTCCTAACATTGTTTTCACTGTCATTAATTACTGCTGGATAAAATTTAACAAGATCTACCTAGAATTTAGTACCGCAACAGGGGGAGCCGAAGGAACAGGGACTCTCCTTGCTGACTCTTGGGATTCATTCATCTGTTTACATCCTCGCTCATCAATAGGAACTTACAGATTGGTAGTGGGTACCTGGAGCGCTCATTATGGGTTCTGCTCCTTGGACCCAGAGATAGAAGGCACAACCCATCTGCAGCACCTGCTGGACAGAAGGGTACAATATCGCAGCCCGTGGGAGGGTCCTCACCTCAATATTCCCTAGGGGTTGGCCTTCCAGCCTCATGCTTACTGACCTCCATATTTAAATATGCAACCTCCAACTCTCCCTTAAGCAACTAAGTAATATGTCCAATCTTCTTTTCACTGTCTCCACGTGAATGTCTAATATGCAACAGTTCAAAGTGCATCTGCCCACCATAGAGCTCTTACTCTCTTCCACAACCTTCTTTTTTATATGTTAAAGAGAAAAAAAAGATAAGCAATGAAACTAAGTCTCAAAACAGGTTAAGAGAGGGTTATAATAGTCAATACATTGTGCAGTGTTGTCTTTGTAGTAGTAGTTATGCAGGGTACAAGATACAGGCATGGAACTGCCTCTCAGACAAAGGACTTCTATCTAGAACATATGAAGAATTTTTAAAAATCAGGCCCCTAAAATTAAACAACAAATCCAAAGTGGGTATCTGAAATGAATACACACACCGGTCGGATGAAGAAATACAAATAAATATATGAAAAAATGTTCAACGTCATTGGTCATTTGACAAATACAAGTTAAAATAACACAGATTTCATCTTACTCCAGAAATAGCAGCTATCATTAAGAAATCAACCCCTAACAAATGCTGCAGGGGCTGTGGGGGAAAAGGAGCCCTTCTCCACTGTTAGTGGGAGTGTGGACTAGTGCAACCACTGTGGAAATCAGTATGGAGAGTCCTCAGAAAAATAAGACCTGAGGTCCCATTCAACCTAGCTATTGCCCTCCTGGGTATTTTTCAAGAAAAAATGAAAACATAGCAATGTATGTGCACCCATGTTTGTAGCAACACAATTTGTCATTTACAAAGCAAAATAAACACTCATACGTGAAATAAATCAGGCCCACAGGTGTAAGCATCATATTGTCCCCTGATGTAAAAAACTGAAAGAGTAAATAAAATCTGGAAGGTACAATAGATATTGTGAAAGGGAAAGAAACTGCTCCACAGCAAGGAACAATTAGGACAAGGGAAAGGAGAAAAGAAAGAAGGAAGGGAAAATACACACACACACACACACACACACACACACACACACACACACTCGATAGCTAAGATAATTGTACTACGAATTTCTATTGGTTTATTGAAAGAAACAGTTCATGCCTAATTGTTTCGTCAATCTTACATGCCTATATCTGATAATCTGAACAACTACTTTGAAGATAATAGTATGCAATACAACAATCTTTGTTAATTTCCTATCATCTTGTTTTGAAATGATGTATTAATTTTCGTTTTTTATTCTCTTTACAATAAAATTTTAGGGCTGGGGCGATAGCTCAGCGGCCTAAATGACTACTGGCAAGCGCAAGGATCTGGGTTCAATGCCCAGTACTGCACACCATGCCAGCTCCAGAACCCCAGGCGCACAGTGCCGGCCACTGAAACCAGTCGTGGTGGTGCACACCCGCAGTCCCCACCCGGGAAGGCTGAGACGGGGGATCGCTATAACACTGAACTGTGTAGGGAGGCCCTGTACCAAATAAATAAATAAACTTTTAAAAATGTTAAAAAGCAAATTAAAAAATAAATACAGGCATTGTATCTTGACTAAGCAATATTAGCACAAAACATTCCTTTCAAGGAACTAAGAGAGGTTCACTGTATAACTATCTTAACTATCTTGTGCATATTTTTTCCTTTCTTCCTTCCCACAACCTACTATTTCCCCCTACAGTGCCCAGGCCTTGTAAATGGCAACACCAAGTTCCTCAAGCCAATAAAACTAGAATATCCACTTGGTCCTTCCCAACTCCTCATGCCATATTCCAGCCCAAGGGTGAATGCGAGGGCTCCCATCCCGCGGCCTGGCTGCTTCCCAGCTGCACTCCGACAGCTCTTACCCAAGGCCAGAGGTTGCTCCCCAGATGCTTCCAGCAGTTCCCTAACTCACCTCACTGCTTCCAATCACCACTGTCTTTTCTCCATTTTCCATGCAGTAGCCAAACCGCTCTTTTAAAATGTATGACTGAATTAAGAGAAAACAACTGTACATCTATGCTATTTTGTATATTCAGATATATATAATGTAGATAGATAGATAGATAGATAGATAGATAGATAGATAGATTGTGTATATGATCACTACAAAATGGTCCTTCATTTATACTCCCTTCTTTATTTAGTTTTGTCAGAGATGGGTATTCCACTCCATTTAAATATTGAAGGTGTGCGAATTCAGCAAAATAATCCAATATGGTCCAGTAGTCCATAATAGTAGTGGGTTATCTGTAGGACTGGCAGTTGAACAGGTTCCTTACTAACTTTGCCAGAAAGGGGTCAGCCAGATAGTTCAGCTGACTAACGTGGCTGCTTAGGCAGATGCAAAGACTGGAGTTCGATCCCTGGCACTCTGCAATTGAGACTGGGCAAGGTGGCACATGCCTATAATCCCAGCGCTTGGGAGGCTGAAAACAGGAGGATCACTACAAGTCCAATGTGTGTAGTGAGACCCTGTAGACCCTGCGCTAAATACATTTTTAAAAAATTGCAAGAAAAGATTCCATGGAGCCAATAGACTCTAGAGATTCCCATTAGTGATACTGAAAGTCATCCTCCACAGTGACCTCTTTTGTCTCCTGTGCACTAGTCCTGAAGGTTTTCAAAGGTGAATGTGGGTTAATCTATTTTTCCTTTATATCTTGTATTAAATTACAGTATTACAAAAATAAGTAAATAAATAAATGTATGACCAA